CCCCATATGGGATTCTGTGACTGGCTGGCAGCCGAGGACACACACAAGTCCTTCCTCAGCGCGCGGGCGGGCACCCGCGATTCCTAGGCAACCGCGCCAGCAGAATCAGAAAGCCAGAGTCGAATCTAAGGTCTGGCGCTTGTGGTGAATTCAAGCTCTAGATGTCTCCATAGCTCCCGATCTTGGCACGTTTTTTTTTTTTGTTGCTTTGTCGTGTTTGCTGTCTCTTCTCGCACGATGTCACCCGGGAATCTGCAGGGCCACTGATCTGGAAATGGATCGTCATGTCCCCTGGCCGGAAACGACCCCCCCTGCCGGCAGTGAGTTGACCTAGCTAGCGGACAATCACCAATCACCACAACGCGCGTTTGTGGTTTCGTTTTTGGGGTGCCCACCCACCCTCCTCTTCGTCCGGCAGCCTGATGGCTGGAAGGTGGGTAGCAGGTGCCGGCCGTGTGGTTTGGTGTGGTGTGATGTGGTGTGTGCACCGCCCCTTGTCGAGCAGACGGAAAACTCCTGCGAATCAGAAGCTGAATCCGGGGCGCCGGGAGGGGGATGGGTCATGACGGCGAGCCTGATGAGGGAGGGCGCCACGGCCAGCTCGTGAGTGGTGCCTGATGGGAACAAAAGAAATAAGGAGATGAGGGCCATTTTGCATATATCAAGTGGATTGGTTCTTCCAAGCCGACTCGTCCCAGCTACGAACCCGTGAGTGTGGTTATTGTTGGTTGCTCTTGAGCTCGACACTGTCGACCATATGAGCCACATCGACTGGTCCTCGTCCAAGCGCATATCCAAACTCGCCGTCAACCATATTTCATAGTGTTCTGCTGGAATTGTTGTGCTTACATCCCCGCTATTTCCCTCTACAGGGAATCACCACATCTACGACGACCTGGAGATGGACATGGATACCAGCAACGTCCCCTAGCGGAGAATACCGAGCCTCAACACGCACGAGCGAATTACTGCTACCATTTAATCTTTTTTTTTTCCTCCTCCCTCTCCTTGCCATTCTGTGTCTCCCTTCGCAATTCACTCCCGTGATCTGCACGCAGGTTGGATCTTGGTTCCTCTCCCCTACCCCTGGTCAGAGGAAAGCAAGCTACTTTTTTTTCTTTTTTCACGAGCCACGCCCGCAGCCCACCAAGTCGCCCGTTGAGACATAGCGCTAGTCCCGAAACGGCTCATTTCCGACGTCTCGCATGCGCCTCCTCCAAGGGCCTGGATTCCCGCCCCCCAGGCTCAAGCAGGCTCGACCCGGGGGCCGCCCTCCCTCGTTCCCCCCCCAAAGGGTCCTTCCCAACTAGGTAGCTAGCGTTCGTCCCAGTACCAGGAGCACGGAGTCCCAGCGATGCAAGGCCCGGCCGGGGCGGGGCCAAGTCTTTAATATACCCCCCTTCTCGCCAGCCAGCCCAGGCCAGCCAGCCAGCCCTACGGCCGCCCAGAAATAGGGATCCCGTCTCTATCCAGCAGCAAGCAGCAGCAGCAGCAGCAGCAGCAGCAGCAGCAGCATCCCGCCCACACCCGCACCAACGGCCGAAACGCTGCCCGCGTCCATTCCTTTTTTTCTCTCTCTCTTTTTCATGTCCGAAGCCATGCAGATACGGATCTCCCGCGGCTCACGTGTCGAGCGTACCACAACCTCCTGCTCGGAATGCAGGAGGAGAAAGCAGAGAGTGAGTTTTGTGCATGCGATGTCGTGCCTGGGCGTGCAAAGAAAGCTAGTGCTTTCTTGAAGGCCTCCCCAAAGCCGTCCGACCCCTCGGCCTCCACCCTCCGGGCAAGAACCAAAATGCCGGGGTTTTTCTCTCGCTTGTAGCGAGAACCCTAGAGCTCGATGTTTTTTTCAGGTCTTTCTTTCCTTCTTGGGATGCCTATGGCTACGATGAATTAGGCTGCAGTATCGACAAGGGGGGTGGGGATGGGGCAACACAAGCTTGATCCTGTGTACTTGGCTCGCTAACTGTCGCGACACACTTGCAGTGCAACCAAGCACAGCCTTGCAGCAACTGTGCGAGGAGATTCCCACAACCACCTTGTGAATACACGGCGAGTGCACACCGGTATGATGCCCTTTTCCCATTTTCGCTATTTCATTCCATCGTATCTAGAGGCCAAAAGGCGGGGGGAAGGGGAAGGGAGAAAAGCGGCGCGACGAGCGACCCCGTATTCTGACGTCTACGGCTATACCAGACAACCGGCAGGGACCGACCCGCAGCCGGCCTTCACGCTCTCGACCATCCCCGCGGGCTTCGGGGAGGACGAGGGCCTCGATGGCGCGGGGGTGCAGCAGCAGCCGCTACTGCAGATCGGACAGGTGGCGTCGGAATGGATCGACCTCGACGTCGCGGCGGCGGCGCGGTCCTGGCGCGAGCGCATGTGCTCAGGCTTCGACGCCGGCGAGCTCGTGCGGTGGACCGGCATCGACATACTAACGCAGTTCCCCGGCCCTTCGGCCTACGAGGCGCTCCCCTGGATGACTTCCCCGGGGCCGCCGACCGCCGGCGGCCCCGGCCCGGCCGAAATACTGTGCAGCTCAAAGTGCGAGATCCACCCACAGCTGGCCAAGGCGACGGCGGGTGTGATGAACGTGCGGGGCCCCATTATTGATCGGTTCATGGGCGGGAGCTGGAACCTGGAGAGGACTGAGGAGATCGTGTCGTGGCTGATGACGCTGGACACAAGCGCCCGGCTCGGCGGGCCATCGGGCCAGGCTGCCGGCGACGCAGCACACCGGGATATGAGTATGGTGCCGGTGCCGGCGACCAAGCAGAACGCGGACCTGCTCCGGATATGTGAGTGCCGCCCCCCGGCTGTTTTCAAGCCAAAGAAGCTTTGGGCGGGTTACTAAATGTGTTGCAATACTCTCGCACCCCCCCCTAGTCATCGGCCTCATCTCCAGGTTCAAGATGGCCCTGGACGGAAACCCCGACCCCGAAAAGAACCAGTACGTAAAGTTCTACGTCCCGTTCGCGATCCAGACGCCGCTGCTGGCGCAGGTGGCCATCTACACGGCCTCGTGCTTCCTGCACGAGACGGGCCACATGGACAAGACGACGACCATGGCGCACAAGGGGCAGGCGATCCGCATGCTCAACGAGCTGCTCCGGTCGTCGCGGTCGTCGACGAGCGACGAGGCCATCACGGCCGTCCTACAGCTCATCCTGGACGAGTGGTACTGGGGCGAGACGAGCGACCTGCGCGCGCACCTGCGGGGGCTGCGCGAGATGATCCGCCTGCGCGGCGGCATTCGGTGCCTGGGCATGAACGGGCTGGTGGGCAAGCTGGCCATCGTGGCCGACGTGGCCATCGCGCTCTCGTTCGAGGTGCCGCCCTTTCTCAGGAAAGGGGACGAGTTTGAGTACCGCGAGGCCGGCGGCGGCGGCGGAGGGCACGTGCCGTTCCGCGTCGCCTACAACACGCCCCTCGTGTCCCCGCTGGTGCCCTTTGCCGACTGCGCCGAGGCGCTCGCCGTCGACCCCGTCACGGCCTCGATCCTCGACGACATGCGCTTCCTCATCTCGCGCGTGCTGGGCATGCCGCCGGACCCGTCGGCCGCCGAGTTGCGCAAGCTCGGCAAGCTGGCCGCGTGGATGCTCGAGAGGATTTCCAAGCTGCCCGCGCACGCGTCCCGCGACGACGACGACGACGACGACGACGACGACGGCGACCACGATGACGCGATGGGTTCTGGTCTGGGAGATGTCGTCGGCGGCTGGGCGGCTCCGAGTTACTGCGGCAGCTCTCCCATATCCGAAGACGGAGGCGGCGGCGGCGGCGGCGGCGCGAGGGCCAGGACCCCGGTCATCATCAAGCACGAGTCGCCCGAGGTAGACGATGCGCGCTCGTTCGGCTCGCCCGAGACGGCAGCGGCGGCCAAGCCCCAGGGCGGCGCAACAGAGGGCAGTAGGGCGGCGACGACGGAGGCGCCCGACTACATGTACGAGCCGGTGCGGCAGGCGGCGCTCCTGTACTGCCGGGCCGTGGCGTCGCGGCGGCCCTTCAGCGCCGTCGTGGGCGCGCGGGACCTGACCCGGCTCTGGGCGGCGGCGTGGCGGGTGCCGCTGACGCGGTGGCGCGGAGCGCTGGGCGTCTTTGGCTGGATCGTGCTGCCCATCGTGTCATCGGCCAGGGGTTCCCCCCACGACCGCCTCATCAAGAGCATGCTCAACATTTGGGGCATCCAGATGAGCCTCGACAACTGGGAGATCGCCGGCCGCGCCCTCCGCTCCGCCCTGCGGCTGCAGGAGTGGCTTGGGGACGGCGGTGGTGGGGCGACGGCGGCAGAAGGCAGCGGAGGAGGTGGAGGTGGAGGTGGAGGTGGAGGTGGAGGTGGTAGTGACGGGGGTGTTGCGGCGCCTCCCGAGGGGGGGCTGTCTGCGGTTGCGGAGGGCAAGCGCCGCGCCAGCTCGGACGATGCGACCGGCGGGCGGGTTGCAGAGGGCCTCAGCCCCGGTGCCGGCACTGGGGGTGGTGGGAGAAAGGAGGGGAGGGCGATATCGCCGTGGTGACGCAACGTCAAGGTTGGCTTGGGCGGTGGTGTCAAGGTGTGGGATTGGGAAAAAGGCGGGACTGCCGGGTTCGAAACTTATATTTTTTTAATCGCTCTGCCGTACTAATGCTTTTGACTTTTTCTCTGTTTCCATTTTTCCTTCTTTTTCCATCGCGTCAGTACGACTTTTAGCTCTTTGGTTTTCCTTCCGTTTCCTTTTGATATTATCAGTCATGTTCTCATCACCATAATGTCCAAACATGTCACCCCAGCAGGCGCGGAGTTTAGGCTAGCCCATTCGAGAGGTTTTCTTGTGCGAAATGGTCATGTTATTCCATGCCTGACATGGGGCTCGTCTTACTTATTCCATCTCTATGCAGGCTGTTAGGATGAAAAGTCTAGTCTTGGATCTGGATTCGCTGCGTCTCAGCGTCGTCCTTTTTCCTGTCCTTCCATAATGGGATCTGGCCCTAAATTTTGCGGTGAGTGGTCCCCTGTAGCGATATCCATATACCTGTGTAACGGTGTAAGTCAGTCACTATTGATTTCCCCGCGAATATTGAAATTCCCATCACTTATGTTTTCGCCATTGATCTTGTCAATCTCGCGTTTGGCCTCGATTAGCTCGCACCAACATGTAGGCCAATCGCCATGATTTACGTAAATAACCACCACGATCTGCGTCGGAAAATTCAAAAACCGACGCACAAGGCAGAGTCGTCGGCGACATAATGCCATTACGCCACGCCCGGCATCCATTCTTTCCCGCCATTGGGCCTTGATAAGGACGGCGGGGGCAGCCTCCCGGGGTGGGCTCGGACTTCCCCCGCCCGAACAGCCCAAGGCTTGCCTGCACCAGGCCCCGTCACCGCCGTCCGTCCCGCTCACCCCCGTTGTGGTCCTGCAGGTTGATGGGGCGGGGCCAAGACCAGACCCCAGATAGCCCGCCCGCCCGTCTTTGGGTCAGCAACAACTTCCCAGGCCCAACAGTCGGACATGTCGTACATTTGCTGTGTGCAGTTATGGCTGGCCGGCGAGGCAGAAGTTTGGGACTCGTTAGCCAATGGTAGGGTGCCAAGCGAGTCAAGAATGGATGGGCGGGCTTGCTTAGCAGTAGCTCCTGATAGGGGCCTGCCCGCGGGGAAATGCCCCGAGGTATGTAGGCAGACACTCCCGCATGACTTGGGCTCCATATTCAAGCACTAGAGTCGCCCTACTGTCTGTTATATCACCTCCCCGAGGGCCTGCCTCGTCGAGTATGTGTTGCCGACTCCAATTTTGCCTTCCTTCACTGTCCCATATCATTCCTAGTGTCTCCAAGGTAAAACTGGCGGTCTGTTAAAAGTCGCCGCCTGCTGGTTTCACTATCATTTCTTAGTTTCTGTTTTGCTTTCGATTTTGTGTCATTGGAATCATTTATCATATACCATCTTGGGGCTTCGCTCGGACAGGCTCATTCTTGATTTCACTTCTTTTGATACTCTGTCCTGCATGCTGCATTGCTAGCTGTGGTCCTTGACCTCGCAAATGTCCGCAGCTCATGGTGGCCGAGGTCGGCCGCTCGATCCCGAAAATGAACCAACCGAGACAACCAGCCTCCTGCCGAAACCCGCCTCTGTTGCTAGCTCTACATCGGCGCTGTCCACGCCCGACAGCACCTCGGCCGGCACGGGCGAGCTTCCCGGGCCCTCACAGTACCCCCAGTGGCTCTCGGAGATATGGTTCCTGGTCAAGGCCTCCATACCCGTCATCATGGCCTACACGCTGCAGAACTCGGTGCAGACGGTGTCGGTGCTGATAGTGGGCCGCCTGAGCCCCGAGGCCCTCGCCACGGCAGCCTTCTCGTACATGTTCGCCATGTCGACGGCCTGGCTGATCGCGCTGGGCGGGGCCACGGCTCTGGACACCCTGGCCTCGAGCAGCTACACGGGCTCGGCCAGCAAGCACGACCTCGGGATCCTCCTGCAGCGCGGCGTCGTTATTCTGACGGCATTTTACGTTGCCGTCGCCTGTATGTGGTGGTTCTCCGAGCCCCTATTCCGGGCGCTTGGCCAGGAGGAGTTTATATGCGTGCAGAGCTCCCGGTTTCTGCGTTGCATGATCCCAGGCGGGTTCGGGTACATCTGGTTTGAGGCAATGAAAAAGTACCTTCAAGCTCAGGGTGAGTAGTCCCTGCTAGGACACGTCAGATGTTCCCATCAGAAACACATGCCTGTCCACTCCCAACTCGATGAAACAGGGAAAGGGATACGTTTTTCCTGACGGTATTTGCGGACCTGCAGAGATATATCAGCCCGGGACCTATGTCCTTTTGATAACCTCACCACTGAGCGCAGCTCTCAACTACTTTTTCATCCATAATCTCGGGCTCGGGCTCTACGGCGCACCCGTAGCGACCGGAATCGCGTACTGGGTCTCGTTCCTACTGCTCGTGCTCTACGCAGCCTTCGTGCGGGGACACGAATGCTGGGGCGGCCTCGATCTCCGGCGAGCCCTACGGCCGGCCCACATGGCCCCCTTTGCGAAGCTGGCCCTCCTCGGCATCATGCACGTGGGCACCGAGTGGTGGGCCTTCGAGATCGTGGCGCTGGCGGCGGGCCGGCTGGGCACCATCCCGCTCGCGGCGCAGAGCGTCATCATGACGGCCGACCAGATCATCAACACGATCCCCTTCGGCCTCGGCGTGGCGACGTCGTCGCACCTGGGCAACCTGCTGGGGGCGCGGCGGGCCGGGGACGCGGAGCGGGCGGCGCACTGCGCCGCGCTGCTGAGCGTGCTCAACGGGGGCGCGATCCTGGCGGCGCTCTGGGCCAGCAAGGACGTGTTCGGGCGCCTGTTCAACGACGACGAGCGCGTGGTGCGGCTCGTGAGCGAGGTCATGCCCTGGGTCGCGCTCTTCCAGATCGCGGACGGGCTCAACGGCTCGTGCGGCGGCGCGCTCCGCGGCATGGGGCGGCAGTCGGTGGGCGCGGCGGTCAACATGGTGAGCTACTACGGCGGCGCGCTGCCCATGGGGATATACCTGGCGTTCCACGGCTGGGGGCTCGGGGGCCTGTGGGTCGGGCAGTGCGTCGCGCTCTATCTGGTCGGGGCCTTTGAGTGGCTCATCGTCGGCATGAGCAAGTGGGAGCGCGAGGTGGAGAGGGCGAGGGAGAGGTTGGAGAGCGGCGGGCTGGCGGTGGCGGCGCAACTGGAGGATGAGCAGCAGTGGGAGGCTGGTGGTGGAGGATCAGTTACTGGCCAGGATCACGCCTGACCTTACGCATCTGGGATTTCTGGTTGTATGTGTTTGAGAACATGGAGCGGAGTGAGCGTCTGGATATTGGTGGGACTGGAACGCAGCTTCCTAAAATAAAAGAGCGTGCGTCTTTCATCTGATGGGATTCTGATGGCGTGGCATGGGCAGCAGAGGACTGCATGGTAAACAGAGTAAACATGTAAAGTTCGCCCGTCTACAACTTCGAGCTGGGTCAGCTACCTGGTCCTGACCAGTCGCAGACACTGCAAACAGCCAACCTTTCAGTACAGTCAACCGGGCTGTTTGATATTGCTCTCTTTAGTGCTGACCTACATTCATTCTGTAATATTTATCATCTGAACACTCGCCCAGACCCAATCCCTTTGTTTCTTTTCTTTTCTTTCCCTTCTCTCTTCCTCATCGCCACCGCCCGATTTCCACCCCCTGACATCTGTTGCCACAGGGAATACCTACGCCGAAGCAGTTGAGAAGAGCGTGACAGTCTGCGCCTTCAAGTATCTGCTCTTCATCTTTGTCTACAGCCTTTTGCTTGTCATCGACTTGGTCGCCGTGACCGCACCTGCCCTGGCATATCGTGATGAGCAACTGATGTGGAAGTGAGTAAGGGTTTGCAACTGCCATTTCCAGCTGGTGATGTGCTAACAGCGCCCCGCCGCTCGCGCTAGGCCCACGCCCAGTGCTTGCTCCGCTAGCCAACATGGCCGACAGGGTCGTTAGATCCACCCCGGACTCTCTATCCAATGAGAGCGCGCGGGCTGACGCAGATCTACCTACCACGACAGCCCCTGCTCTGGACAGCGAGTCGAGCCGCGATGCTTTGCGGCGTGCTTGGCTGCGAGATCTGGACGCGGCGCTGCAGCACATTGGCAGTCAGGACACCGGCAACGTAGGCTTCTTGGGCTCGAGCACACAACCGCCGCTTTTATCAACATCGCGCAATACAGAGCTTTCATCTGCGCTACGAGCTCTCCCCAGCGCTCCCCGTGGCCCCAGACCGCTTCAATCGCAATCCCTTACTGCCGCCGATTCCACCCAAACCGACCTGCCAGATCCCTTCGCCGACGACGGCCCTGCATTTCCCTTGCGCCGACCCCGCGATCCGCTACCCACACCGAGCTACCAGCCATCCGGATCTCAGGGCCAGGGGCCGCCCAAATTTCGATTACGAGTTCCAGCGAAGTCGGGCGAGGGCAAGCACAAGGCGAAGTCCATCAGACTTGGTCGGCAGAAGTCGTCGGCAGCCCCCCAAGGCCTAGATCGCCTCCACGTCCTCTCTGATCGCCAAAGCCGCGACGACATCTCGCCTGAGCCACTTGATTCGGACGGGCCTCTCCCGCCACCTCGCGGCTCCTGGCCTATTCGCTCCTTGCCGTCGCCGTCGCCTCTCCGCGACGAGGGGCGCAAGACCGACCCCCGCCCTCCTGCGCGGCTTACACTTCAGGACTACGACACTGCAGTCACCATGAACGGCATTAACGGTGGGGGCATGGGTGCCGGCATGGTAGGCCCTACACCGGCCGGACACCAGACGGAACTTAACTACATCTACGCCATGGTCGACGACCTCAGTAGGCAGCTGGCAGACAACAGGAGAGTCCTCGAGGAGGTCGTCTCGCTGGTCGGCAAGATCCGATCCAAGGCTCGGGCGGCGAATGTGTCCAACGAGGAGATTATAACAAATGCTGAGGACCTGAATCGTAAGTACAGCACGAGAAGGCATCCAGCGGGGTGAAGTTTACGCACAAGTCGTGGCTAACATGATACTCTACCAATGACACAGCGGAGAACCTCGACGTGCTAGTATCAGCCCTGTCAGAGGCACTAGATCGTGCGACGCACGAGAGGGACACCAACATGGCGCTCCTGCAGCAGTACGCGGCAGTGCTCGGCACCATGGTGCGGCAGGCGCACGAGTACAAGGCGCGCAACGTGTCGGACGTCTCGTCGTGGCACCGGTCGTACCGCGAGCAGCTGGCCGAGGCGCGCGAGGAGAACTCGCGGCTGCGCGAGCAGGTCTGGGACATGCAGGAGCGCGGCGGCCGCCTCAACGAGCTCGCGCGCCGCTTCCGCGCCCGCTACGACGCCGAGCCCTCGCGCTACGAGTCCCGCGTCGAGCACGCCGCCCTGCGCCAGGAGGTGCGCTTCTGGAAGCGCATGGCCATGCCCGAGGTCCCGGACGACGACCCCTGCTGGAGCGACGACGACGACCTCATCGACCCGGCCGAGACCAGGCGCCTGGCCGAGGTCGAGCGCGCCGCCGCGGCGCTCGCCGCCGAACAGCAGCTCAAGATGCAGCTCGAGGAGGAGCAGGCGGCCATGGATCAGGAGACCCAGCAGCAGCAGCAGCAGGAGTTTCAGGATTACCAGGAGCAGCAACAGCAACAGCAGCAGCAGCAGCAGCAGCAGCAGCAGCAGCAAGACGAATTGGGCTCGAACGCCGTCTCGGCTCAAGGGCCCGGTGATGGCTCGGCAGTTAATGGACAGCCACCGAATCAGCAACCACCAGATGTCAAGGGCCAACAACCACAGGCCGGAGTTGGGTTCTCGATGGGGGGAGTTGCCATGCAAAGGGATGATCCCAATCTTTAGTCGTGGTCTTTGTCTCTTTTTTTTTTACTTCATGCCCCATCTGTCTTGACATCAAGTATCGCTTTCTAGTACTTGCTCAAGGTGATCACCCTTGTTTTTTTTGTTTTTTTGTTTTTTTACGCAAAGAGCGCACTGAATCGGACCTAGCGTGTTTTGGACCCTTGTGGCGTTTTTACTGCAAAGCAATGTTAAATAAAAACTGATGTACTAGATTCTCCCGTTGACACAACCCTGTTTAACCAACCAACCAACCACCCCTCCGCCAAACGCCGTGTTAGGACAACAAAAAGGAGACAAAGAAGAACATCAGCTATTACTGATGTTTTCTCAAATACAAATGCTATTGGGACCCTAGGGAATTCAAGCCGGGTTCTTCTCCTCACTCCTCTTGCCAGGACCGCTCAGGTAGTTCGGTCTCGGCAAGATCCACCCAGTGTGTTCTCGCGGGGAGCCATCCTCTACGCATTTGTGCCAACCCCCGCTCTCAGCTCCCTGGGGAGTGCCCAGCGCCTCTAGCTGCTCAGGCGGGGGGCCTGGGTGGAGCCGGTGGCGGCGGCCTCGGCGGCCGACAGCTCCTCCTTCTCGCGCTCGACCTCGGCGCGGCCGCGGAAGCCCGTGTCGACGTCGATCTCGGCGACGGGGCGCAGGATGCGGCTGTCGCGGCCCGTGCGCCTCTGGTATATCCAGTAGGCGGCGAAGAGTATCAGGATGGCCGGCGCGCCCGTGACGTCCATGAGCACGTCCTTGGTGTTGATGGGCTGGCCCGGGGTCAGGGGCCAGAAGGCCATGGCGATCTGGGAGCAGAGCCCGACGAGCGACGTGGCGATGCCGACCCACGAGCCCCAGGTGCCGAACGGGCTCGCGAAGCTGAGCGACGACACGGCGCGGCCGTTGTGGCGGAGCGCGGCGCGGAAGCGCACGTGGCTGATGCAGATGGCGAGCCACGTGAAGTAGTTTGACATGCCGGCGAGCGAGAGGAGCCAGAAGAAGATGACGCGGCCGCCGGGCGCGGCGCCGACGAAGGCGAGCAGGCCGAAGCAGATGGCCACGACCGTGGCGGGGAGGGGCACGCCGCCGCGCGTGGTGCGCGAGAGGAACTTGGGGGCCATGCCCTTGCTGCTGAGGGCGTGCAGGGCGCGCGACGAGGCGAAGATGGCCACGTTGGCCATGGACGTCAGCGCGGCCACGATGCACGCGCTGATGATGTGCTCGACGGCCGTGAGCCCGGCCAGCCGCATGGCGAGCACGAAGGGGGACGGGTTGGCGCCGCCGCCCGAGGGCGTCAGCTCCTTGGCGTCCGACGGCAGCAGGAAGCCGAGCATGGTGAGGCCGACGAGGTAGAAGAGGAAGATGCGGACAAAGGTGACGTAGGTGGCGATGCGCATCAGCCGCGCGGGCCGCAGGCACTCGGCCGCCGTCAGGCCCAGCGTCTCGGTGCCGCCGTAGGCCATGCCCGCGATCTTGAAGACGGTCAGGAAGCCCTGGAATCCGTGCAGGAAAGCGCCCGGGCGCTGCCACCACGTGGTGCCGTAGGCGATCCTGCCCGGCGGCAGGGTCATGGCGCGGTCCGCGACGTAGGGGCGGCCGGTCGTGGTGAGCGAGAGGGCGAGACAGATGAAGATGGCGATGGCGATGATCTTGAGCCCGCCCAGGAAGTTCTCGGCTTCGCTGAACCAGCGGGACCCCATCATGGACACGAGCGAGACGAAGGCGAGGAAGCCCGCCATGACCAGCGCCGGGTGCGCCGCGCCCGTTGTGTCCCAGAGCCGCACCTGGGCCGAGATGGTGACGATCTCGAAGGGCAGGATGATGAGCCAGTTGAAAGCAAAGTTCCAGGCCATGGCGAAGCCGGCCGCGGGCCCCACGAACCGGTGCGTGTACGTGTAGAAGGACCCGCTGAGCGGCAGCGTCGCCGCCATCTCGCCCAGCGCCGCCATGGTGCACACGACGCCGAAGCCTACGGCCGCGAAGCCGAGCACCATATTGCCCGGCCCAGCGTTGTGCAGCGCCTGGCCCGACGCCACCAGCAGGCCCGCGCCGATGGAGCTTGACAGCGCCATGAACACCATCTGCCGCGCGTTGATCTGCCGCTTGAGGCCGTCCTGCGCCTCGGCCGCTGCCGCTGCCGCCCCAGTGGCGGCCTGGCCGTCCTTGGCGGTCGCGGTCGCCGTCGTGCTGTCGCTGTGGCCGCTCTGCGTGCTGCCGCGCCGCCCGGAGGACAGGGCCGCGAAGGCCCTGTTGATAAAGCCAAATGCCATCTCCGCGGGTCTCTTCGAGGGTGAGGGAGTGATGGGTTGGAGGAGCTGGAGAAAGAACGAGGCTCTCGGGACGAGGTGATGCCCGACTTTATAGTGTACTCAATAGCGATACCTGGCCGGAACAGTTGCATACATGGACGGGCAATGATGAAAAGAGTGGTGACGCCGAGATGGGGCTTTGTCAGGGCGGGCCTGGGCCTTAAATGCGAATACGAAGTCTGGCAACAGAGACAGAGTTTCCAGCCACCTGGAGCAGAGTTCCAGAACCACTCTTATCATGGTTGGGAAGGTGGGAAGGGCTCGGCTGGGTAGGTGCCCATGGGGAAAGCGGTACTGCGCGGTGACAAAAACATGGAAAGCACGGGCTGGTAATAAACTTCCCCGATATGTCGTCAACACTCTGTATCGCGAGAGAAAAAAAGGTAGGCGTGGTTGGTGGCGGCTTGGGAACAGGGCTATTAGGGCTTCCTTCCAAGTGGTCACGCGAGCATATCAGCGTTCCGTGGCGTAAAACGGAATTCACAAACTCGAGATGATTAGGTCCCAATTCCCTAGCTATCGATATCTTGGGAAATCGCCATGTATACATAGACGCTGATAAAATGCCGGTTCCTGATAGAAGCCAAAAGCTTGTTCGAACGCTGTAGACCTGAACGGCGCTTGCATTCTATGGGGTTGTCGAATCTACGGGCATGCGATAGCAAGTCCACCAGAACATAAGTTTCGTCATAATGGGATAGTACTATTCACTGCCTACCCTATAGACATCACGTACCAAATGGAGGCAAATGGAGGCAAAGGAAGGAGGACGTATTAGAAGCATATATACTGGCGCGATGTGGTGTCGATATGGATGTTACACGACAAATGGTAAATCATGAACAAAGCTCACGGCGGGAAACGAAGATAACGGGGAAATTGCCAGTCTCAAGCGAGCTAGTAGCCGCTCTGCTCGCGGCGCGAGTCGGCCGACTTGTTGGCTGACTCGCCTGCCTCCTTGATCGCCTGGTCGTCTCCGCGCAGCTTGGCGAATATCTCCTTGATGTGCTCGGCCGAGACGGCCTCGCCGCTCTGCGCGAACGGCTGGAGGAACGTCTTGAGCTTGTCCTTGAGGTGGTTGTACGCCATGACACCCTCGATGGCGCGCACACGGTCCACGCCGCGCAGCGCGCTCTCGCCCATCTCCAGGAGGCTGCCCTGTGTCGACCCGCCGTGCTCGGAGCCGCCGTTCTCCGACACTGGCGGCTCGTATGTATCCTCCTCCTCCAGAAGCTGTGGGTGTGGCTTGAGGTGTGGAAAGCACTCGGCGCACCGGCAGAAATGTTCGCGGAAGTCCTCCTTCATGAATAGGGAGAGCTGGCCGCTGGGCGCCGGCGGCAGCTTCTCTAGCTTGCAGGTGGAGCTGGAACCTGAAGTAACCTTCGGTGCCTGTGCCGAGTCTGTAGTGTTGGGAATGCTAGACTGCTGCGGGGGCTGTGGGGCAGGCGAGGCATCCTCCTCGCTCTTGTGACGCTTAGACTCCTGAGGCTCCTCCTCTCCTTCGTCATCTGCCTTTCGCTTGAGTGATGAGCCTGTTGCCGGAGTTTCGGGGGATTTGGCCTCGGGGACAGCCTCAACTACAGCCGGTTTGCTAAACACGGCCGGTAGGAAGCCCTCGGTCCCGACATAGCGTTTGATCCATGGATAGGCGTCAACACACTTGTAGCACAGGAAAGCCTCGAACGAGTCTTCCTCGGGGAACCCAGGCGGCACGGGAGGGTCGTCGTCGTCGTTGCCGTCCGCACTGGCGTCATCGGGGCCAGCCTGTGCGGTCGGGGGAGCATCACCGCTGGCCTCTGCGTCCTCCGAGATGGTTGCCAGCGGCCGGCTGGCTACAGCTGCTGCTGGGGCTGTGGCCGTATCGTTGGCCGACGACTTCTCCTTGACCTGGGCGTCTTCCTTCTCAAACCATTTTGAGCCGAGCCCCACGACGCAGCCGGGATGCCACCAGTCCTCTCCGCAGCCCCCGGTCTCGTGGGTACCTAGACCGAGGCACTGGTACATGGTACCCTTCTGCTGAAAGGGGTCGTAGTCGCACTCGCAGCCACAGAAGCGATTGCGGAAGTTCTGGTTGTACTTGTTGTTCATGTCCGGTTTCTCCGAATGAGCGCCCTTCTCTTTGGTGTTTGGGTCTTCGCGCAGGGTGCAGGGGGCTGTGGCTGGGAAGCGGGTGGTGCCGCAGTCACATGTGAAGTTGCGCTTGGTGAAGATCTCGACGAGGGTGTGCTCGCCGTGGCACTGGACGGAGCACGAGTAGCACACGCCGGCAGCATTGTAGGGATCCTTCGTGTCGGCGGGTGGGGGGTTGCATGTGAGGCAAGCGAAAACAGCCTGGCGTAGCGATCCCAAGGGTTTGGTGCAGTTTTGGATGCTCTGGTGATCATAACGAGTTAGCGATCGTCTCACTGCCATGCTCGTGATAAGACTGTAGGATATTGATCCCGAGACATACGTATGGTAGAGCCTCACGCGCATCCGCCTCTAGTTGCATCTGCTCGCGGATGAAGCTGTTGAGAGGTCCCGTGTTAGTCCATGTTCCTGGTCCACAGCGGACGAGCCAATGATGGGGGGTCGTATTACTCTGCAGCTGTCTGGGACGTCTGGGATTGCTGCGACGAGCTCTCGCGGCGCTTCAGAGATGGCACCTGAGTGGTGGTGTCGGCATCGCCATTTGCGACGGCAGTCGATGCATCGGACTGCGACATGGTTGATTGGTGAAGGCTGCGGGGCCTGAGGTTGGCTTGCTGTCTGTCTGCCTTGGAATGTTTGTGGTTTCGCGATTGCGACGGTTGTATGTGGTAACGAGGTGGTTGTTTTGCGGTCGGAGGGGGAAGCTTCAGTTCGTTTGCCGAATCTCATGCATCAATCAATTGTCTGAAGATGGAAGCTCCGCTGACATTGAATACTATTTCGCAATGAAAGGATGCGAGATGCGATGCGCGCAACGCCTTGGGATGGAGGCTGCAGGAAGCTGGAGGTGGTCCCTCCTGGAGGAAGCTTGGACCAATCCCAGTCCTCAAATCAAGGCGGCAGCTACCAAACGCCCCACCACTTAACGCGAGAAGACGCGTCAAGGCCACTTTACGCGTCTCCAATTCGACCCCTTGTCTACGTTCCAGACTGGGACCACAATCCTCCCTGCAGGCGGCCCCTCTTTCAGCTCTTTCTTTGCATTCGCATTCCCCCAGCAACCCGATTCACGTTGCAGCGACAGCGATACTAGCAGGCGTAATTCACGATTTACGATTCGCAGGCGTCGCACAACGACAAACCCTGAGATTAGGCTGGGTCACTATCCAATATGAGGTGAGTTCAGCCCTATGCAGCATTTGTTTTGGGGAATTTAGATACCGCCTCCCTAGTTTCCCCTCATCGCTAACCGCTCCATCTCTAGTTCTCCGCTGAGAAGCAATTCGAACTCTGCGAACCGCGGCCTGTCCGCCGCGGCAGGCGGGAGCCGGAAGCGAGCCAGATCCGGCGCTGGCGATGATGGTAACACTCCGAGCGCCGCGGCCTCGAGCCCGCCGATCCCCTCCTCTCCCCCCGCCTTTAACATGGCGCACGGGGCAGATGACAATGACGACATCGAGGAGGATGAGGTCCAGGACGACATTGAAGACCTCGACGAGATGGCCGAGGATGATGTGGATCTCTTTGGTGAGGGCTTCGAGGGAGACTACAAGGACAGGGAGAACGACGAATATGAGCGTATCGATATCGACGACGAGGCCGACTACGACGCCATGAGTCTTGGCGAGAGGAGGCGCCTCGAGGCTCAGCTCAACCGCAGGGATCGTGAGGTGGCCCGCCGCCAACGCATCCCCGCTGCCTTTCTTCCTGGAGAAGACGAGGATGGCGATATCGACCTTACGGCCCAGCCGCGCCGGCGTCGTCACCGATATGATGAGGATCTGGACGAGGACATGGATGCCGACATCATGGATGAGGAGCTCTCGCTTGAGGCTCTGCAGGACGTCAAGGCGTCCAGTTTGACCGAGTGGGTTTCGCAGCTGTCTGTCCAGCGCACCATCAAGCGCGAGTTCAAGGCCTTCCTCACCGAGTACACGGACGAGCACGGTTCTTCGGTCTACGGAAGCCGCATCCGCACTCTCGGTGAGATCAATGCCGAATCGCTCGAGGTTTCGTACGACCATCTGTCGGCGTCCAAGGCTATCCTGGCCTATTTCCTGGCCAACGCCCCGACTGAGATGCTCAAGCTATTCGACGAGGTGGCCATGGACGTCGTGCTCCTGCACTACCCCGACTACGAGCGCATCCACTCGGAGATCCACGTTCGCATCTTCGATCTTCCTGTGCACTACACCCTCCGCCAGCTTCGCCAGTCGCACCTGAACTGCCTGGTCCGCGTCAGTGGCGTCGTCACCCGGCGTACTGGCGTCTTCCCCCAGCTCAAGTATGTCAAGGTTGACTGCACCAAGTGCGGCGTCACCCTTGGCCCGTTCCAGCAGGAGTCCAACGTCGAGGTCAAGGTCACGTACTGCCAAAACTGCCAGTCTCGCGGCCCGTTCACACTCAACTCGGAGAAGACGGTGTACCGTAATTACCAGAAGCTTACTCTGCAAGAGTCCCCCGGCACTGTTCCCGCCGGCCGTCTCCCACGGCACAGGGATATCGTGCTCCTGTGGGACTTGATAGACAAGGCCAAGCCCGGCGAGGAGATCGAGGTGACGGGTGTGTACAGGAACAACTACGACGCGCAGCTGAACAACCGAAACGGCTTTCCCGTTTTCGCTACCATCCTGGAGGCCAACAACATCGTCAAGGCTCATGATCAGTTGGCCGGTTTCCGCATGACCGAGGAGGACGAACAGCAAATTCGCAAGCTGTCCAAGGACCCGCAGATTGTGGACAAGCTCATCAACTCCATCGCCCCCAGCATTTACGGGCACACCGACATCAAGACCGCCGTCGCCCTGTCGTTGTTTGGTGGTGTGGCCAAGACGGCCAAGGGCAAGCACCATGTGCGTGGTGATATCAACGTGCTAGTCTTGGGAGATCCGGGAACGGCCAAGTCTCAGGTTCTAAAGTACGCCGAGAAGACGGCGCACCGGGCTGTCTTTGCTACGGGCCAGGGCGCCAGTGCAGTCGGTCTCACGGCGAGTGTACGACGGGATCCTCTGACGAGCGAATGGACACTGGAAGGCGGTGCTCTGGTGCTTGCCGACAAGGGCACCTGCTTAATCGACGAGTTCGACAAGATGAACGACCAAGATCGGACGTCAATCCATGAGGCCATGGAGCAGCAGACCATTTCCATTTCCAAGGCCGGTATCGTGACGACGCTGCAAGCCAGGTGTGGCATTATAGCAGCGGCGAACCCGATCGGAGGACGCTACAACTCGACCATCCCGTTCTCGGCCAACGTGGAACTGACGGAGCCCATTTTGTCGCGTTTCGACATACTCTGCGTTGTGCGTGACACGGTCGACCCGGCCGAGGACGAGCGACTGGCGCGCTTCATTGTTGGCTCGCACAGCCGCAGCCACCCGTCATCTTCGGGCGAGACTCAGGGCGGGGACGGCTCGATGGAGGTCGAGCACGACTCGGAGCAGACCGAGACACAGGCGTCGGATGGCCGGGACAAGGAGGGCGAGATTCCCCAGGACCTCCTGCGCAAGTACATCAAGTATGCTCGCGAGAGGTGCTCGCCGAAGCTGTACCACATGGATGAGGACAAGGTCGCAAGGCTCTTCTCCGACATGCGTCGGGAGTCGAAGGCGACTGGCGCCTACCCAATTACTGTAAGTTTTGGAAGCGGCCCTGGGCATCCGTGATCCATGATGCGCCACGGAAACATGACTTCTAACAAGATACCCCAAACAGGTGCGTCACTTGGAAGCTATCATCCGGATTAGCGAGGCCTTTTGCCGTATGCGGCTGTCAGAGTACTGCTCAGCGCAGGACATTGACAGGGCCATCGCCGTCACGGTCGAGTCGTTTGTGGGCAGCCAAAAGGTCAGCTGCAAGAAGGCACTGGCCCGGGCCTTTGCCAAGTACACGCTGGCGCGTCCCGGAGCCGGGGCCGGTCGCCGAGTTGGGGCTGGTCGTGGCAAGGGAAGGGCCACTGCGACGGCCAGCGCGTAAAGGGGAGGATGAGTCTATCTTTTGTCCCGTGGTTCTACCTTGGTCTCGGCCAATATATCCGGCACGACTTTGTGTTTTCAGTCACTTTCTATTTGCTTTCTTGTGTTGTAAATGCCGTGTTTGGGTTGATGAGGGAGGGTTCAGCGGATGTGATGTGGGATTTTGGGCTGGGGCTGGGGCTGGGACTGGGCTCTTGAAGTTTGGTAATTGTTGATGACGTGGAACAAGCTGCAAGGAACGAACGGATGAATAGATCTGGAGGTCATATTGTTCGGATCAATGCACCAAGGGCGGCGGGCTTTCTCGCTTTGCACATTGACAGTCCTGATTTAACGCTTGCTCTCGAGAACCAGCACAACGCGAATCTCCTGAGCGCCTTTTTTGCAGCTTTCATCTCAAGCTCATTCATGTTGTTTAGTCTGGCGAAGCGACGGCCTTGGCATCTTATTGCCCCACAAGGCGTTTTTGAGCCTTCCAGGGATCAATGCCGGTGTCAGGCCGGGCTGGCGGGGGATGCTGTGTGTGTGTTTGGTGTGCATGTGTATAGTTCTTGGCTGTCGGGGTTTCGGCCCACCTGTGCCATGCAGCCGTGCCAGCTCGCCCCAGCTCCCCAGCACTGACGGCCCCGCGGCCCCGCCCAGCTCGCACCTGACTGACGCATCGACGGCCGGGAGAAGGCCGGGACAGTCGGCTGAAGTTCGGCCCAGGGCTATTCCTCGGCAGCGAGGAACCGGGCTGGGGATCCATCTGAAGGAGGAGGCTACCCCTGGCGTTTCCACGTTTCCACCAGGCAGACCGATGTCTGGCGATGTTTGGGCCCTTATTTGTTGTCGAATCCTCGGGCGGGCTTCTGTCTTCGCGTGGGCAAGCCGCCATGTCGTCCGGCCGCTGGGGAGCCACCAGAAGACAAGGGGCAGAAAACAGCGCAGGCTCGGCTCGGGGGTGCATCCCTGGTCTCCCCCATCCGCCCCGCCATCCCCGGATCCGGTCCTGTGTTGTCTCCATACGAGTACCAATAACGGCCTACCTGGGCAGCTCGCTACCGTGTACATTGCCCTGCTTGTCACGCGGGCTTGGGGTTATATAAGAGGGCGCTCTCCGCCTCGTGTCTGTGTCCGCGGCCTCCCGACGGCCGATAGACCACTACATCTACATATAAAGCCAGCTTTTCCCTCCTCTTTTCTCTTGTGTTGACTTGACTTGAAACATCTCGCATGAATCTTAGAATGCGTTGTACAGGCTCGTGTTGCTCATCACCACAGGATAGCACTATGGCGAAGCAAATCGACGTTGAGGATGTGCTAAAGAAGCTCACACTTGTTGAGAAGGTTGAGCTACTGTCGGGTAGGTGGTGGCCCCTTTGTCGTCAAACCAAGCATGCATCTGCTAACAGCGCACCCACAGGCATCGACTTCTGGCACACCAGGCCAGTCCACAGACTGGGCGTCCCGTCGGTGCGGCTGTCTGACGGGCCCAATGGCGTGCGCGGCACCAAGTTCTTCAACAGCGTCAAGGCGGCCTGCTTCCCGTGCGGCACCGCCATGGGCGCCACCTTCAACCTGGCGCTGCTGGAGGAGGCCGGCAAGACCATGGGGGCCGACGCCAAGACCAAGAGCGCGCACGCCATCCTGGGGCCGACCATCAACATCCAGCGCTCGCCCCTGGGCGGCCGCGGGTTCGAGTCGCTCAGCGAGGACCCGGTCGTGACCGGGCTCGGGGCGGCGGCGCTGATCCGCGGCATCCAGAGCACGGGGGTGCAGGCGACGGTCAAGCACTTTGTGTGCAACGACCAGGAGCACCGCCGCAACGCCTGCCAGAGCATCCTGACGGACCGGGCCCTGCGCGAGATCTACGCGCTCGCCTTCCAGCTGGCCGTGCGCGACGGGCAACCCGCCGCCATCATGACGGGCTACAACGGTGTCAACGGCACCTACTGCAGCGAGAGCGACGAGCTCCTGGGGAAGCTGCTGCGCGGCGAGTGGGGCTGGGATGGCCTCGTCATGAGCGACTGGTACGGCACCTACAGCACCACCGACGCGGCCGTCGCCGGGCTCGACCTCGAGATGCCGGGCCCGTCAAAGTTCCGCGGCGAGCTGCTCAAGTTCAACGTGCAGACGGACAAGGTGCGCCGGCACGTCCTGGACGAGCGCGTGCGCGCCGTGCTCAAGTTCGTCAACAGGTGCGCCGCCGCGGGCGTCGAGGAGAACGGGCCCGAGACCACGGCCCTCGACACACCCGAGACGGCCGCGTTCCTGCGCCGCATCGGCAACGAGTCGCTGGTGCTGCTCAAGAACGACGGCGGCGTGCTGCCGCTGAAGAGGGACAAGAAGACGGTCGTCATCGGGCCCAACGCAAAGGTGGCGACCTACCACGGCGGCGGCTCCGCCTCGCTCGCGGCCTTTTACGCCGTCACCCCCTGGGACGGCATTAAGGCCAAGCTCGAGAGCGAGCCGGGCTACGCCATCGGGTCGTACTCGCACAAGATGCTGCCGCTGCTGGGCATGGCCACCGTCACGGACAAGGGCGAGCTCGGCATGACGATGCGCGTCTACAACGAGCCGCCCACGTCGTCGCACCGCGAGATGACGGACGAGTACGTCTTCACCAAGACCGAATTTTTCTTTATCGACTACTACAACAAGAAGCTGCGGTCCAACCTGTGGTACGCCGACTTTGAGGGCTTCATGGTGCCCGAGGCCGACGAGGAGTGGGAGTTTGGCATTGTCGTGCATGGCACCGCCAACCTGTATATCAACGACGAGCGTGAGTTTTTGCATTCTGAATCGTCTCCTCTCCGGTGCTGTCACGTATTACAGAGGCTATTTACTGACATGCCACGGTGCGCCATCAAGTCGTCGTCGACAACACCACCCACCAGCGCCAGGGCACCGCCTTCTTCGGAAGCGGCACCATGGAGGAGAAGGGCAGGTACAAACTGTCCAAGGGCCAAAAGTACCACGTCAAGATCCAGTTCGGCAGCGCCCCGACCTCCGAGCTCGCCAACGAAAGCGGCCTGCCCGGCCAGGGCGCGATGCGCTTGGGCGGCTGCAGGGTCATTGACGTCGCCTCGGAGATCCGGCGGGCGGCCGAGCTGGCCAGGGGCGCGGACCAGGTCATCGTGTGCGCGGGCCTCAACGCCGACTGGGAGGGCGAGGGCCAGGACCGGGCGGGCATGGACCTGCCGCCGCCCATGGACGACCTCATCGCCGCCGTGGCGGCCGCCAACCCGCGCACCGTGGTGGTGATGCAGTCGGGCACGCCCGTGCACATGCCCTGGGTCCGCGACGTGGCGGCCCTCGTGCAGGCCTGGTACGGCGGCAACGAGACGGGCAACGTCATCGCCGACGTGCTCTTCGGCGACGCCAACCCGAGCGGCAAGCTGCCCCTGTCCTTCCCCGTCCGCTGCCGCGACAACCCGGCCTTCCTCAACTACCGCACCGAGGGCGCCCGCGTGCTGTACGGCGAGGACGTCTACGTCGGCTACCGCTACTACGAGTTCGCCGACCGCGACGTGCTCTTCCCCTTTGGCCACGGCCTTAGCTACACCACCTTTGCGCTCAGCGGGCTCGAGGTGCGCGCCGACGAGGGTGGCCACCGCGTCGACGTCGAGGTCAACGTGGCCAACACTGGCGCCGTGGCCGGCGCCCAGGTCGTGCAGGTCTACGTGGCGCCCAAGCAGGCGGCCAGGGTCAACCGGCCGCTCAAGGAGCTCAAGGGCTTCGCAAAGGCGCGCCTGGCGCCGGGCGAGACGAGGCGCGTGGCCGTCGAGCTGGACGTCCGGTACGCGGCCAGCTACTGGGACGAGGACCGGGGCCAGTGGTGTGCCGAGAAGGGCGAGTACGAGGTCATCGTCAGCGACAGCAGCGCCGCCGAGGAGGGCAGGACGCTCAGGGGGTCGTTCAAGATCCCCGAGACGTTCTGGTGGAGCGGACTGTAAGCTCGGGGGCTCTCTTGGAGCGGTTAGGCTCCTTGCGTGTATTGTTAGCATGAAAAGCGCAATGAGCATGGCATTGTTTGATATCCCCGATTGATGTTTGGCCCGCCTGGGCTTGTTTGCAGCGAAGAGACGGCAAAGCCTAGCGCCAACTCTCCGTAGAAGGAACCTCTTCACCCAGCCTCAGTTGGCAGGAATTTCGTACTCAACTATGAGCCCCATGATCTCCCATCAATGATTGTGCAACCAAGAGTGAAGGAATATATGTGAGCGATACGGAGTAGGCGCTGCCTGTATATACATGATATACATGATACAGATCACCCAAGAGCTGATCCTCCGCGCCAGGGATGGACCGTGGTTACGTGCTCTCGGTCCCGGCCCCCGGCCCCCGGCCCTTCCGCCTTTCTTCCAAGCACGCGCACGTCGGCCGGATCCAGCAGCTAGCGCCAACCATAATCTTTGTTCTGCCCACGCAGTTGGCCAGATCGGGCCGTGAACGCATCCAGCTCCCGAAGACCCGTCTCAAGGACCCGGAGCTTCTCGGTCAAATCTGCCCGATCCTTGACCGTCTTTTCGCTCTCGGCTCCGAGGATGTCGATGCGGTCAGGGTCTTCGTAGCAGAGCTCCCAGAGGACCTGGGGCGAAAAACTGCACGGTCCAGTGAGAGTTCTCCATGTCAGTTCTGTGGGAAAACCTCACGGGGAAAACCTTGATACTTACACGTCAGGAAGCTGCTGCACAAGAGACGTCTCCACGGCATTGACGCTCACGTCGTCGACGAATTTCTTCAGTGCCACAGTGTAGTACGCAGCAGCAGTGTCTGCTGCTAGAGAGGCCGAATAACCTTCGATGGAGAGCCCTATCTGTGCCCTGAGATGCCGGAGGGCCGAGACTACGCTGGTCGATGAAAGCTGGGAACTTGTTATTTTTGCATCAAGGTCGATTGCCAGGTCCGAATCCAAGACACAATGGTGGAAGTGACGGTTGTGTCGGCGTGCTTGCGCGTCGAATACGGCATCGGTGAGACTTTCGTTATATGTGATTGGATGGACCGAGAGGTGAGGTTCGAGAAAGTCGGCGACCTTCTGCTTCAGCTCATCGCGCAGGGAGTGAAGGGCTTGCTGGACGAGGTGCCTCATCAAAAGGGCTTTGGTGTTCTGGTCGCAAAGATCTGAGAGAGCGGCGTTGAAAGTCGCCATCGCGGCTCCGTGGATCTCCTCGACGAGCTGCTGCGTGATGCCTTCCCACGGCTTGCACTGCCTGCTGAACAGGTCCGCCACAACCATGGGGTTGTAATTTCCAGGAAGCTCCCTGCCACGGCACTCAATCATGGCCGCGCGCACCGTCGTGTCGATATACACGTCTCTCATAATGAACGAGGAAGCGCGAGTCGGCAACGTGCCCTCCTCGACGATCTCAAGCCTGTGACCGTACTTGCTCATCTCCTTGGAGTACTTGTCAAGGATGTGCTGCACATGCGCCCTCAGCCGCCTGTCGAACGCGTCGCTCTGCCCGGGCAGAGACTCGAAGAAGCGGTCGGCGTAGACGCCGTCGATGGCCTCCTTCATAACCTTGTGGAGCTGCGTGCTGATCCGCATGAGATAGTCCCTTCTCTCTTTTAGCGTGTCCCGGGCCTTCCCCAGCTGAGAAAGCTTGGACTTGCAGTCGGCAATGCCGGCGCCGACTTCGGACTTGACGCGAGGCATCTCCACCTGGATCTGATGCCAGAGCACCTCGCGGAGTCGCTCCCTCAGCGTCTTGACTCCCAGCTGTGAGGGCTCCAGGTCTCGCCAGGCCGAGTCGTCAAAAAACTTTTGCTCGCGCGCGTCGCGCTCCCCGGCCGTCTCCTTGCGCGTGTCGTAGCTTCTGTTGCGCAGGACGTGCCAGCCGAGCTTGAGCTTGACGTTTCGGTTCTGCGCAAGGTCCACATAGTACCGCTCGCTCTCCGACCCCTCGTCCAGTCGGTCGGGCTTGGTGATCAGGCCGAGGGTCCGGACACCGTTGGGGTCGATCTCCCTCGCGAACTTGGTGACAGGCTGGTTGGTGAAGGGAACGTCGGCGCTGACAACAGCCAGGATGATGCTGCGGCGCTGGCGCATGTAGGAAGTCACGAGCTCCTGGACCATCGCCGAATCGTCGTCGGACTGGTTCTTGTCCGCTGCGCCAAACAGGCCGGGCAGGTCGACGATGGTGAGGTTGGGCTGGTCCGGCGAGGAGCACTCGATGCGGAGCACGTCGGCGCAAAAGTGCCGACCGCCCTCCGCCCCCGTGAGCCCCATGGCCACCTTGGCCCCCTCGATGATCTCCCCGATGTCGTCGAAATGGCTGGACTTTGAGCCAAAGGCCGCGAGCGTCTCCCTCTCCCCCTCCGAGCGGCTCTTGTCCGGGATGATGCGCACGCTGACCTGGGACTGCTCGGCGTCGGCGCAGCGACGCAGGATCAGCTCCGTGGCGAAGCGGGTGCAGAGCCCCTCGGCCGTCGGGAAGGCCACGCCTGAGATGGACTCGAGGGTCGAGCTTTTTCCCGACGACTGGCTGCCGCAGACGATTATCTGGGGGAGGTCGACATAATTGCTGACTCCACTCAGCCGCAGCTTATCGACTATGTCAAGGAGATCTCGATGCTTGTCATCTTGGATGAGCTGTGATGTCGTCTTGGAGAACTTGCCAGCCAGTTTGGCCGTGAGGTCTGTCGTGATCTCTCCCATTCTGCCAGCAGGATTTGACACAAGCTGTGGCGGCTATGCACCGGAGCACCAACTGAAAAGAAAAAAAATTCAGAACCGCAAAATGCTTTTCCCCACCCAAACTCTACAGCAAAAAAAACATCAAAACAAACTCAAACAATTTAATTGCAACATACTAAAGCACTATAACACGCCCAAAACAGCACGGATCCTTTCCCCAATAATAAAAAGCGAGGGCAAAATAACTGCCCATTAATTCGCACATAAATTACAGTTAAATTTTTTTTTGGTGGTGTTAATTGACTTTGAAATGATGGCCCTTTTGTGCCGTTCAGGTTTTTTTTCAGTTGGTGCGTAGGTTCTGGCGATATTCGGGCAGCGCACCTACCACCTCCAAGGGGTTGGCCCAGAATTGGCCCAATAACATATAGCTAGGTGGGGCTCAATTTGCACGGGACAGTAAGTGGAAAACCCCTTTTGTCGAACGGTGATTTCCAGATTATTGTTACAAACAGGCCTCTGCTCCTAAGGTAGGGCACCTTTGGAGGTCACAAGCAGTAACACGCGACTTGAAGACTGAGGCGATTCACAAAGATCTTGGGTGCAGGTCTAGATGCTTGCTCCAAGGGATACTTGGAAGCTAACTTAGGTTAACTGATGCCAGTGCATCTGTCAAAAGCTATCTAGGACACTAGGAAATCCTCCTTCTTATGCCTTGGCCCGTTGGCCTTGAGGTACGTACACTGAGTTCCTGCTATGTCTCCGAGCAGACATATCACTGTTGCTTCCATAACTTGTATGTGCCCAAGCTCCGGGGCGTGCGATCCTAGTGGTGTGGGTCCCAGCGGGCCTCTACCCCTCCGATTGCTGGTCTGTTGGTGGTGGTCGTAACAATTATGTGCACTGTTGCATTTATAATTATATAATGAAAAAAGCGGCGTTGGCTACTTTATGTCAAGTTCATTTTATGTATAAACACGCAAAAATGGGTTGAGCATTCATGGCAATGCTTGATTATATGTGCGGTAAAGACTGCGCGTGAATTCATATGGGAGCTAGGTAGCTCCTAAATACCGAAGGTGGGACTCGGACCAACAAGTCGTCGACCAAAGATGTAGCTAAACCAGAACCCATGCCAGCGCCGGGGAAACGTTGGAAAGAAGCCGCATAAATTCCAAGATGCCGAAGAAGGAGCAGGAAAAGAGAGAAGACGAGCTGGGTAACAAGAATTGTGACCGAGAAGGAAGAGAAACGTAAAGAAGCACAAAGCAACCCGACCCGATGCAAATGCAAATGCAAGGACCCCCAAGGACAAACCTCTAGATGTGGTGTTAATCTGATACCGGCCAGCCTCGTCTCTAGGCTGCGTCTCCTGCCCGCTCGCCCTCGAATCCCCTTAGCCTCGTGCCCGCTTCTGCTCCAATTCACCCATCCTCCACCGCCGCATCCGCCCAAGTGTCGCGCCGGCTCCCTACTGCTCGTTGAGAGCGCACTTCTTCTTCTTCTTCTTGGCCTCCTCATCGGCCGCCTCAACGTCGCGGGTCTCCAGGGCGCACTTCTTCTTCTTTTTCTTGGCCTCCTCGTCGGCCACGCTGATGTCACGAGCCTCGAGGCACCGGCGGCGACCCTCAACGTCGCCCTCTTGAAGGGCAGCCAGGCACCGGCGGCGGCCCTCCTCGACGTCGCGGGACTCAAGCTCGGCGAGGCACTTCTTCTTCCCGGCACACTTCTTCTTCTTTTTGGCCTCCTCGTTGTCGGCCGCGGCGGCGTCGATAGTGTCGCGCACCTCGAGGCAGCGGCGGCGGCGTCGACGCCCGAGAGGCAGCGCCGGGCCTCCTCCTCGACGGCCTGGGCGAGGTCCCGGACCGAGAGGCAGCGGCGCCGGCCCTCGTTAACCGGCTCGCCCATGACGGGGCCGGCGGCGGCGAGGAGGGCGATGAGCTGGGCGAACTTGACGATCTGCATTTTGATGCTGGGCTGGTGCGGTCAAAGAATAGAAAAGGGGGCTGAAAGGCTGCGAGGAATGAAGATGCTGGATGTGATTCCTGGCTGTCAGGTGGGATGTGTGCAAGAAGCAGGTGATGAAGCTGAAGATGAAGATGAAGGAGCTGATGAGATGATGAGGTTGAGACTTGTGGCCTGAAGAGAAGGAAATATCTGGACCATGGACGGGAGGATGGACCAGAATATATACCCGTTTCCTTTGCCCTAGAGTTGACACTCCGTCGTTGATCCCCAGAAGAGCGCGCCGGCAAGGAGGTGATTATCGCTGGTATTCCTCAATCATCCCTCTCAAGGCTCCCAATATTGGGCTTCATCACGACGACTCGGTACCACGGGGAAAGGGGTGCTCCTCAGAGGCCGGGTCGTTTGTTGTCAGTGACTTGCCACGAGCCTTGCCATAATCCGAGGTCGTCGTGCTATGCCTTGATAGTGCTAGCCATTCTATCACCGACACAAGAACCCGGCCATTGTACTCTGAGAAATTGCCATCGTAGCCGAGGCCCTGGGATTTTGTCATGTCCTCTGGCCGCATCGAATTGGTGGAGCAGACTTGCTCGCCTGTACAGTTTTGCAGCGGCATACTCTGCATATCGCTATTGATTGTGGGCTGGCGGCGGTCTGGTCAGCCGCGTACACGTCAACCAGAGGAGCAAGTAAATCGAACAAGCCTGGTAGACCCCTGACCAGGCACGCGCGCCTGGCCCTTTTGGGTGGGGGGGGGNGGGNGGGNGGCGGCGGCGCGTCGTCGTCGT